AGTAACAGAGAGCAGCAAACAGAAACACTTGTTTCTAAGAAAAAATATGAGACTGCGTCCAATGATAAAAGCAGTCTGTGTTTTATAGAGGGAGGCATAAATCATGGTAGTTTCGCTCAGTGGATTAGGCAGCTGTTAAAAGGATTAGAAATGAAGAATTTGTACAAAACAAAATGTTTAATAGGTTAAGTGAAAAAATAGATGATATATTTATATCTATTCTGTTCCCAAGTATGTAGAAGTATATATACATCTGGAGAGAAACAGAGAAAAATGAGAATTGTGGGAATGCATGATTTACATTTTATTATAGTTTGTATTAATATTAAGCTCTTAAAAATAAGGAGAAATGCAAAGAAATGTGTTCAACTCAAGAGCAAAACAAAATAAAAAGATAAGGGACAAAAAGAACCAACCTACCTTTCATAAAATTATTTATTGAGTCCTGGAATTTTAGAGATGGGAAACCTCTCCTAACAGGTCTCAAAATTTTTGGTCTCAGGACCTCATTATACTGTAAAAATTATTGAGGACCCCAAAGAGTTTTTATTTATATGTGTTAAATCTGTCTGTATTTCCATATTAGAAGTTAAAATTGAGACTGGGCATGGTGGCTTACGCCTGTAATCCCAGCACTTTGAGAGGCCAAGGTGGGTGGATCCCTTGAGGTCACGAGTTCAAGACTGGCCTGGCCAACATGGTGAAACACCATCTGTACTAAAAATACAAAAATTAGCCGGGCGTGGTGGCGCACACCTGTAGTCCCAGGTACTTAGGAGCTGAGGCAGGAGAATTGCTTGAACCTGGGAGGTAGAGGTTGCAGTGAGCCAAAATCTAGCCACTGTACTCCAGACTAGGCAACAGAGCAAGACTCTGTCTCAAAAAAGAGAAAAAAAAGTTAAGAAATAAAAGAAAATTAAGTCACTTAAAATAACATTGATGAACCTATTGTATGTTAATATAAATAACATTTTTATGAAAAATAACTATTTCAAAACAAAAATTTAATGAGAAGAGTGCCATGGTTTTATATTTTTGCATATCTTTAATATTTGCCTCAATAGTAGACACATGGATACCCATATTTGCTTATCCATTCAATCTGTTGTGATATGCTGTTTTGGTTAAAATTTGGAAGAAAATTTGGTCCCAGACAGCTATATAGTTGGGAAAGGGAGAGTCTTTTAATAGCCTTTTCAGATAATTGTGGCTTTGTCACATTGTCTCTGGAAAACCTCACTGTATACTTTTGAGAGAATGAGATTGAAAAAGACCAATAATGTCATAGTATTATTATGAAATACTCTAAAACTCCATAAAAATGTTTAAATACCTTCCAGGGGTCCCCTGATCACACTGAGAACTACTATTTTAGCACTTGAAAGATGAGAAAACTGAAACTCAGAGATGTTCAGTGATTTTTTCCAAATTACTTGGTTGGTGGAGTGCTTGGACATGGCTTTGCTAGGTTCATTCCTCGTGTTTTTGGAAAATGTCATATATGATGTGACTTTAGGACAACTTTTGGAGATTGATCCTGAGTTTATTTATGAGAGTCTTCTGAGATACCAAAATCTAATTCCACCTTGTCATCTTGAAGATTTATGAAGAACTCCATGGCCGGGTGCAGTGGTTCACGCCTGTAATCCTAGCACTTTGGGAGGCGGAGGCAGGCAGATCATGAGGTCAGGAGATCGAGACCATCCTGGCCAACATGGTGAAACCCCGTCTTACTAAAAATACAAAAATTAGCTGGGTGTGGTGGCACGTGCCTGTAAACCCAGCTTCTTGGGAGGCTGAGGCATGAGAATTGCTTGACCCAGGGAGTCGGAGATTGCAGTGAGCCAAGATTGGGCCACTGCACTGCCCTCCAGCCTGGCGACAGAGTGAGACTCCGTCTCAAAAAAAAAAAAAAAAAAAAAAAAAAAAACTCCATGGTAGGCAAATCAAAACTTTTTAGAGAAAGTAGTATTATAAAAAGGTAATTTTTAACACATGTAAACTATAGAAATATTAAATTTTGTGAGCCAAGATCGCGCCACTGCACTCTAGCCTGGATGACGGAGCGAGACTCTGTCTCAAAAAAAAAAAAAAAAATTAAATTTATGACAAAGGATATGATAACATTTAATTTTGTTTGCCACTTTTTACTAGCTAAAAGTTTTCTAGCATCTTCTTCTATCTCAATAATTTTATTATATGTATGTGTGTGTATATACATATATACACATATATATATATATTTTTTTTTTTTTTTTGAGATGGAATCTCACTGTGTCACCCAGGCTGGAGTGCAGTGGTGATATCTTAGCTAACTGCAAACTTTGCCTCCTGGGTTCAAGCAATTATCCTGCCTTAGCCTCCCAAGTAGCTGGGATTACAGGCACCCACCACCACACCCAGCTGATTTTTGTATTTTTAGTAGAGATGGGGTTTCACTATTTTTGCCAGGCTGGTCTTGAACTATCTGCCCACTTTGGCCTCCCAAAGTGCTGTGATTACAGGTGTGAGCTGCCACACCTGGCCAATCTCAATAATTTTAAATAGACACTTTTGACTTTCTCTTGATCTGTTGGTTATTTGCATGTCCATAGAGGCATTTTCCATATCTGTTCCTCCATTCAAATGTTAGGTGGCATTATGGTTTTTAATGTCATTCTCTGGTTCCTCCCATATTCCACCAAGGTCTCAAACAAGAGTATTCTTGGATCCTGAGATGGAAAACACTTAGGATAACCTTTCTTTAGCCTATTTGAATAGGCACTTCTCACGCTTCACCATCAGTGCTCAGTGATATGTAGCAGCCCTTTGAATGGCAGCTCCATACCGCCAATTGTTCTGTCAGCCCTTTTGCATAGCTCTCAGCTCCTCCCGCCCCCAGAGTAGTTCCATATTAGAAGTTAAATTGAGGAACTGTCAAATTACTTAACTACTTCCTGCTGGCCTGCAGGCTGTCTGGAGATGAGACTGTCCCTTGGCTTTCTTCGTCTTTTCCAGATTTTTATTGCACAGCTTCTTTCCTGTTGTGCCTTCTACTCTACCTCCCTTTTCTATTCCTCATTTACCAGTTTCTTATTTTAAAGATTATTCTCAATAAGAATGACCTCAGTTTACATATACTGGAATCAAGATTCTCTCAGTTGCCATAAAGATGCAGAGGAATAAGTCTGTCTCGTCTCGAGCCTTGTGAGATAGGAACTCTTTTTGTTTGTTTGTTTTTTGTTTTTGAGATGGAGTTTCGCTCTTTTTGCTCAGGGTGGAGTGCAGTGGTGCGATCTTGGCTCACTGCAACGTCGGCCTCCCGGGTTCAAGCGATTCTCCTGCCTCAGCCTCCTGAGTAGCTGGGATTACAGGTGCCTGCCACTATGCCCAGCTAATTTTTGTATTTTTAGTAGAGATGGGGTTTCACCATGTTGGCCAGGACAATCTCGATCTCTTGATCTCGTGATCTGCCCACCTCAGCCTCCCAAAGTGCTGGGATTACAGATGTGAGCCACCGCGCCTGGCCAAGACAGGAACTCTTGTTGGGAGGGTCTGGTGGTAGGTCCAATGGCAGCCCTGGGGGCCTCCGTCCTTCAGGCTAAGCACCACAGTGTCTTCACTCCTTGCTTCTGGTTTGTGTTAAATATATATTTTTAGTGGTAAAAATCAGAGTTATTTTGTAATCAGCCAGCAATATCTTTAGGTCAGCCCTAACCAATTTTATCTTTTCTACCTTCCCCCCTTTAAACGTTGTAAGGGGAAATGCCCATATGTTTTATATCCTGTTCTTCACATTAAGAAAGTTGTGGGGCTGGGAACACAGTTACTTGGGAGAGAGCTCGGTGAAATTCTGGGTACGCTTTTGGCTTCACCCCAGACCCCATCCTGCCTCTGAGTGGTGGGACCAGGACATGGAGGAGGCAGCCAACGGCCATGCACCTGCTGAGTGTGTGTCGTGTTGTCTGAGCTCTTCTTTTGGAACAATTTGAAGCGAGGTTTTCGTGTCTGGGTTACGGTCATGGAACTCTCTTGTTGAGTTGGGTGACCCTGGACTTTCAGCTCCTTTTTCCTTTTTCTTTGGAGCTGGAAAGGTATCATGTGGGCTGGAGAAAATAAAAAGAAAATTCATTAATTTGAAATACTGTGGAGAATTTGTTCTCTCTATATTATATAACTCTATTTCTATCTTATCTTTCTAGACTGCTTTCTAATTTGGTGTCTACGTGGGACATATTATTTCAGTGTTTCATATACAGTAGAAGCTTACTATATATTTGTTAAAAAGAGAAATAAAGATAGAACAGACAAATGCAGTCTAGCAAATGCAGTCTAGCTTAGGAGATGGGTATAACAGGAGCATTGTGATGGGCACTGGACATGTAGGTTCCAATCTCATCCTTATCATAACTACCTCTGTGATTTTATCAAATTATTTAAACTGCTTCTCTTTCTGTTCTGTAAATGGTGTTGTTAAATGATGTCTAGGTGTTTGCCCTTCAAATTACGACTATGTTTTTTTCAATAATTACTTATCAGATACATGTCCGCACTGTTAGGAGAGCTAGAAATACAGGACAACCAGCCACAGTCCCCGCTCTCATTGATATTGCTTTATACTCAGGTAGGCTGTCTTCTGTCCTCTACTGGGTAGCAGAAATAGTAACTCGAAGGACAGTCTTGGATTTGTGTCTGATTTGGGCCAGGCCACTACAAAACCTTTAAATGCTTTATTTTCCTATCTATAAAGTGAAGATAGTCATATCTAACCTAGTTTACCTTATATAGTTGACTAAAAATAAAATAATGTAAGGGAAATACATTTAAATATACTAATAGTAGTAGTGTAAAGTACAGCATGTAGTAGTGTCTGTAGAAATGTGAAATATTTTATTTTGCTGTGAAATTTACCATATAATCTACTAAAGCTTGGATGGGAAAAATCCTAAATTAACTTAAACTTGGAGTTTGGAAATTGTTTAAAATTTGAAAGTATATTTGCTTTTTCTTCTTTTACAGAGAAAGTATAATGCAATATGTTTTTAGACACGATGATGGCTGACCCTCCTCCCCAGTGCCTTGTCTGGCTACCTCTCATGCACAGGCTTGCCCATGTTGAGAATGCAAGTAGAACTTTATTGTTCAATTCCTCCTGCTGTAGAAAGTATAGGAACTGATTATTTGCAATGTCCTTAGCTATTAATATCATTGAAAATTACAGTTGACATTTGCTGTCACTCCGTCATTTGATTTTGTGGTTTTGGCTTTCAGAAGAATATTTCTTCAAAAGGAGAGGATACTTACTACTTTTTTTTTTTTTTTTTTTTTTTTTTTTTTTTTTGGAGACAGAGTCTCACTCTGTTGCCCAGGCTGGAGTGCTGTGGTGCAACTCTGGCTCACTGCAACCTCTGCCTCCCGGGTTCAAGCGATTCTCTCACCTCAGCCTTGAGTAGCCGGGATTACAGGCACTGGCCAATACTGCCTGGCTAATTTTTACCTCAGTAGAGAGACAGGATTCACCATGCTGGCCAGGTTGGTCTCGAAGAGACTTATTACTTTAAAAAGGATACCAAGAAGTAGGCTGGGCATGGCGGCTCACACCTGTAATCCAGCACTTTGGGAGGCCAAAGCGGTGATCACTTGAGATCAGGAGTTCCAGCCAGCCTGGCCAACATGACGAAACCTTGTTTCTACTAAAAATACAAAAATTAGCCGGGTGTGGTTATGGGTGCCTGTAATCCCAGCTACTTGGGAGCTGAGGCAGGAGAATCGCTTGAACCTCGGAGGTGGAGGTTGCAGTGAGCCGAGATCATGCCACTGCACTCCAGCCTGGGTGTCAGAGTGAGACTCTGTCTCAAAAATAAAAAATAAAAAAAAGAAAGGATACCAAGAAGTAGTCATATCAGGTCATACAACTTGAACTGTAGGCTTTTCCTGCCTAAGATTCCAGATGACTGTTTTCTGTTTGGCCCAGCTGCTTTTTAGCCATTACTTCCTGTTTTCTGATTTATCAAACTCCATAGCTCTAAAAACTGTATATATGCTTTATCAACTGCTAAAACTATAATTATTTTGAAATAATTTAAAGAAAAATAGCCAAAATATACCTAACAGGGAGTTCTTTTCCCCCATTTTTTCCTTTACCATTTTGCGTTGAAACTATTCTTGATGCCGGGCGCGGTGGCTCAAGCCTGTAATCCCAGCACTGGGAGGCCGAGACGGGCGGATCACAAGGTCAGGAGATCGAGACCATCCTGGCTAAACGGTGAAACCCTGTCTCTACTAAAAATACAAAAAATTAGCCGGGCGTGGTGGCGCCTGTAGTCCCAGCTACCCAGGAGGCTGAGGCAGGAGAATGGCGTAAACCTGGGAGGCGGAGCTTGCAGTGAGCTGAGATCCGGCTACTGCACTCCACTCCTGGGCGACAGAGCAAGACTCGTCTCAAAAAAAAAAATAAAAAATAAAAAAAAAAAAAAAAAGAAACTATTCTTGGTAAACCTCCCGTAATTTGACATAAATCTTTGTTTTGCTTTGTGTTAAAATAGTACCTATCTCCTTAGTGACTTCTTAATTTTTCCTGCTTTTGCCAAAATAGTCGTATCTCCTCCTCAGGTTGTTGGCGTTTTGTTAAAGGGAAGTGCCATCGTTTTTTTTTTTTTTTTGAGACGGAGTCTCGCTCTGTCACCCGGGCTGGAGTGCAGTGGCCAGATCTCAGCTCACTACAAGCTCCGCCTCCCGCGTTCACGCCATTCTCCTGCCTCAGCCTCCCGAGTAGCTGGGACTACAGGCGCCCGCCACCTCGCCCGGCTAGTTTTTGTATTTTTTTTAGTAGAGACGGGGTTTCACCGTGTTAGCCAGGATGGTCTCGATCTCCTGACCTCATGATCCGCCCGTCTCGGCCTCCCAAAGTGCTGGGATTACAGGCTTGAGCCACCGTGCCCGGCAGGCCATCGTTTTCTAGTGACCTTCCCTCTCTCCAGGCTCTTGCCTTTCTTCATTCCTCAACAGAGAACAAGGAAGAGCCAAGAGTCCGCTTTTAATAAACGTCCATACTGTTTTTGTTTTCTTGCTCTCATATCCATACTTTAAAATAAATTTTTCTCAGCCTTTTACCCAACTATGGCTTTAGTTCACAAGTACCTCAGATTAAGGATTCGTTTCTTAAAGGACCAGAATCTCTCTAGACTAAAACAGCACAATTTTTAAAACAGGACTCTTGGATTGATTTAAATTTTGGAGAGCAATGCTTTTATAGCCTTGTTTTAGTAGTTTTATGTCCAGTTGATTTTCATAAAATCATTTTGTATTTGCTATACCAAGTAGAAAGAGCCTCACTTGTCAAGATATATTATTATCCATATGCATATGAACATTTTATTGTGACTTTTATGAAGTATATAATTTATTGATTACCTTCTTAATGTATGTGGTTTGTAGTATTTTTATCAGAGACAGAAATGTTATAAAATAATTAAAATATCTAGAAATAAAAGGTTACCTATCACATTAATATTTTTCAGTATGTCAGTTTTAATGGTGAGAAACAAATTATAAAATTATGGTATTTATGGTTTTTTTTGGTTTGGGCTTTATGAAGTTCATCATAAATTATATTGACATTATATTGACATAACTATGCATGAGGAGAAATATTTATTCACGTAAGCAAAAGTTGCACTTTATACATTGATTTGCTAATCCAAGTGTATAGTATATAAGAAGGTAACTACTAAGTGATGCACTTTACCAAAATAATACTTTTACCAGAACCTGAACAGTCCTTCTCTTTCTTATTTATAATTGACCCAACACACTTGTTAATTTTTTCATCATTCTGGTTCTCTACTTTTCCACCTGTCACCCATTCCACTGACTAAGGATTGGCTCTTGACTGGTTTGGAAGAGAACACAGGAGAATCACATAGACATATTTGTTCAACCCAAATTATCAGAATGTGTTTGATAATTTAATACTAACATACATATATCTTTTAATATTAACCTAAATTACTTAGAATTATAAATACTGGCTGCACAGATGTTGACCTCATTGACGTTTGCTGAGATTGAGGGAGACCTGTTCTCTGGAGGAACTATACTAGGCTGTATAGTTAATTTGGAACACATGCTTTTAATTAGCATTTCCAGCATTCCTTAGAAACACTTTGATGGCAAAAAACTGAATTTCTTAGAAGTAGTAATATCCTTTGGATTTCTTATTCCTGAGTTTAGTTTTCTTTTAGTCACTAGTGTAATGTTATATAATCTTGCTGTGTAGTTTTTCTCACCTCATACTCAATGTTTTTTGAGTCTTGATTCACTAGTTAATATATATTTTTGGAAGCAGGTCTAGAAGTCCCTATAATTGAAATAAGATTGTGGTCTTATATATATAATGCTAGAAAGAGTTGTTCAGTGAAGATTTGAGTATTCTATCCCTCTTTTCATTTTCTTTTTTTTTTTTTTGTTTTTGAGACGGAGTTTTGCTTGTTGCCCAGGTTGGAGTGCAATGGTGTGATCTTGGCTCACTGCAACCTCCGCCTTCCAGATTCAAGCTATTCTGTGGCCTCAGCCTCCCGAGTACCTGGGATTACAGGCACACACCACCATGTTCGGCTAATTTTATATTTTTAGTAGAGACGGGGTTTCTCCATGTTGGTCAGGCTGGTCTCAAACTCCTGACCTCAGGTGATCCTCACGCCTTGGCCTCCCAAAGTGCTGGGATTACAGGCGTGAGCACTTTGGCCTATCCCTCTTTTCTATTAACTTCCTTTTCTTGTGTTCAGAGTTGAATTGTCAGAGAAAACAATTATGCTACCAACATTTAAAAGTATAAATAGTGATCTGTAACATACAGTTGTGTATTGCCCTTGATAGTACACTGGAATGATTAGATTAGAATCAGTAGTCTGTGTTGAATTTTTTTTCTGATGTATTAAATCTTTTCTTTTTTTTTCTAGTAAATGGCTAGTTAGACTAGCAGATAATTTAGATTCTTTAGTTGTAATTGTGTTTTGTTTTGTTCTGTTTTTGAAACAGAGTCTTGCTCTGTCACCCAGGCTGGAATGCAGTGGCGTGATCTCCACTCACTGCAACCTCTGCTTCCTGGGTTCAAATGATTCTCGTGCCTCAGCCTCCTGAGTAACTGGGATTACAGGCATGCGCCATCATGTCCAGCTAATTTTTTTGTAATTTTAGTAGAGACAGGGTTTTGCCATGTTGTCCAGGCTGGTCTCGAACTCCTGGTCTCAAGTGATCCGCCCACCTCAGCATCCCATAGTGCTGGGATTACAAGGGCGAGCCATCGCATCCAGCTCTAATTTTGTTTTTACCTTTGTTTTTATATTAGATTTGATATTCCTCTGTATTGACTTTATTCTCCAAATGAAAATTTATTCTTTCTTCTTTTATTCCATCCCTTCTCTCCTGCCCTTTTTCTTCCCCTTTTCTCTCCTGTCCACAAGTCTTCCATCCTGTGGAGTGCTCCTACTGCCGGTGTGAGAGTATGATGGGTTTCCGGTACCGATGCCAGCAGTGCCACAACTATCAGCTCTGCCAGAATTGCTTTTGGCGTGGCCATGCCGGTGGCCCTCACAGCAATCAACACCAGATGAAGGAGCATTCCTCTTGGGTAATGGCTTTGTGTTTCATCTATGTCCCTGAATGTTAACCTGTTTTATCAGTAACAGCACCTGGGCCAGTTTCCTCATGGATGCCTACCAAATAAGGATGTGGTGTAGTAAAATCTTAACACTAACATTTATGCCAGGGTTGCAAAAATGTTGTGCTTCCTCACTTGATTTTAAAAGCAGAATTTTAAAAAATTCCAGGAAACAAAGACAGTACGTTTGAAATGGTCTCTTTTATTCAATAAAATGGAATGTTGCAATGCTCTCTTTCCTAAGTGAAAAGTGGGTTTCTTCTTATTTTAAAATTGTACAGGCCAGATGCGGTGGCTTACGCCTGTAATCCCAGCACATTGGGAGACTGAGGCAGGCGGATCATGAGGTCAGGAGATCAAGATCATCCTGGCTAACATGGTGAAACCCTGTCTCTACTAAAAATACAAAAAAAAATTAGCCGGGTGTGGTGGCTACTTGGGAGGCTGAGGCAGGAGAATGGCGTGAACCCGAGAGGCGGAGCTTGCAGTGAGCAGAGATTGTGCCATGGCACTCCAGCCTGGGCGACTGAGCAAGACTCCTTCTCAAAAAAAAAAAAAAAGTCTTAAAATTCTTTTTGCAAGCAAAATTTCCTCACATTTATAGAGTTTAAATGTTTCAAGGAAAGTTGTAGAAAATAGAAGAGTTAAGTATTTATACCTGTAAAGTTGGAAAAAACATTGTATTTTACGGCCATTGCCACATTGGTGTCTTTACCTTCAAAAGTAGTTTTTAAAATAATAGTATCTTGGCGGAAGTCAGTATCTGATTTTTCTGTGGTTCTTATAAATTATGTAACATGGTTATCATCAATTGTTTTCCTTCCTTTCTCTCAGTTTATTTCCAGAGTTTTAAAAATGCCATATTTTCCTTCCAAAAAGTTGCTACAGCCTTTGTTTTAAAACCTTTCCTCTAGTTTTTGTTTTGGTTCGTTTGCTAAATGGTAGAAAAACATGTAAGGTCAGAAGTATAATTCAGGATCTAGGTTCTTTAGCCTGGTTATCCTGTTGGCCTTCAAGTATTAGAAAGCTTTAATAACCAGTTTTTATTTTCCCTTCGGTTGTCTTAAAACTCAACCAATAAAAAGCAAATAAACTCACATCAGGAATTACAGAAAAAAACAAAAACAAACTTCAGCCCAAATGTACATTTAACTAGTTCCTTCATTTCTGAAAATCTGTTAAAGATTCTTTTTTTTTTTTTTTTTAACTGGATAAGTTTCTATAATACTTAACGATAACATTTTGTTAAACTGAATATCCTATCCTGGGTCTTGTTGTGTTGTGAATTCCAATTTTTTGGTGGCTGTTGTGTTGAAGAGCCACTTTTAAAATCCAAAAAAAAAAAAAAGGAAAAAAACACAGTAGTTTCTTTTCTTTTTCATTGAATAAAGATAATTTACAGATTTTCAAATTGTTTCTTTTTGCTTTCTTAAAGTACAAGTACTTCACTATGTTAATTGTTAATATTTTTTCCACTTTGTGTGTGTGTGTGTGTCTGTGTGTGTAGAGTCTTAACTCTTTACACTGGGATAGTTTTTGCTGTTTTACCTTTCATGATGACTGAGTTTGCTGGTATATTTCTACTGAAAATTCTCATTCTGGATGTTGGGGCTAGAAGAATGGGGAACTTCTTATTCCCCCTGGTTTGAACTTCCTCGTTTGACTAACCTATAACCCTTTTAAAAATGGGGATTTTGTATTTATTTAGAGACAAGTGACTGATACTGCTTTATGATTTGCATGTTTTCATCTACTCTTGAATATTTTCATTGGGTTATAAGATACATACAGAAAAGTCTACAAATCACAAATGAATTCTTACATTTCTGTTTGACCCTCACAGCACTCTTGTGAACTAGATCTTATTTCCATGTGTTGTTATTCTTATTTCAGTTTTTTTGTTTTATAAATTCTTTTATTTTTGTTAAAGTGACTTAATTTTTTTTAAAAAATCAAGTATTGTTATCCCGCATAAATTTGAAGCTAGTATGATAAACGTGTCAGTTCTGAATTTTGATGGATGTATGCCTTGCATATGGTAGATGCATACTGGTAAGGTCTTTTAGCAGTATGTGTAGGTGTCTGGATGTAACTTCTTTTCAAAGTTAAGATTCTTTACATGCAGAGCGCTTGCTCTTTGAGGAAGATGTGGTTGAATTTTGAAGCTGAGCGAAGAGGTTTCCAGCTAACAAAAAGATGTGCTATCAATTTAACAGTAATTTCTTTGCGATTGTCAGCTGTGTTTATACTGATATTTTGAAAAAAGTTTCTATATGCTCACACATGAGTTTGAGTGTGTGTTTAACCAGCTAGTATATGAATTTTCATTGTAGATGTGATATGTGAGTTTTAAGTAGTACCTGGAAGTTTATTTTGATTTTTGCAAAAATTTCTGTTGAATGTTTTATCTCAGTAACTGTGCAGTATAATTCGTTATTTTAGTCCTTTGTCCATTTTGTTTGCCTTTGTTACAAAGAAAATGCCATATGGTACCATATCTGAGATTCATCCTGTCTGTTCATTCTTTCATTCAAAATTTATTTTTTAAGCACCTACTGTGTGCCAGGTCCTGTAAGAGGTATTTGGAATACATCTATGAACAAACTAGACAAAGACTCCTGCCCTGTGGAGCTTAAGTTTTAATGAGTGTGAAAGAGACTGCTGGAGCTTGTTAGCGTTACTCTTTTCCTATTCTTGTTGGCACGTGTCTAGACTACACATTTCAGCCTTCATGTAGCCAAGTGGAACCATGTGAATAGTTCTTGCCAGTGGAATGCAAACAGAATGATAGGTGTCTTTCCAGAAGACGACAGTTAATAAATAACAGGGTTCCTTCTCTACCCTCTCTGCTATCTTGGTGTAGAGAATGTCATTAGGACCCAGCAGAGGGTGAAACCATTAAGCGAAAGGAAACTGGGTCCTTGAATGATGGGTGGAGAAGAATATCCAGCAACCCACTTGACTGTGATAGGGGTATGATAAGAACTTTGTGTTAAGTCACTGAAGTTTTGGTACTAGAAGTAGATTTCTGTTAAAATCTTAAAATGTATGGCATTGTCTTAGCAGTCATGTGGCACACTTGATGAGGAAACTGACAATGGAGAGGGAAAGTCAGAAACCCATGTTTATATATAGTGGTAACCAGTTTGGTAAATGTGTCATCTGTGATCATTTGGAAGGCACACCTCACACCCACCGGGCTGTAGGTCAAGTGTTGGAAAAGATCAGAATGTGAGACTATTAATGGTAAGCTGACATAGGATAGAGATGAGTTCAGAAAGAATTGGCTAGTGCGCAAGCAATAAATGAAAGGGAACAAAGAAAGCTCTGACTCTTGGGGCAGTGAAAGGAAAAACAGACTGCTTCCAGACCCTAGAGAGAAAGCAAAAGAGTTGAGAAAGGCTTTAAGCAACAAAGTCCTAGTAGACCTTCTCAGTTGAAAAAGGTGACTCAGTCCTATAGCAAAGATCAGATTAAGGGTATGGGCTCTTGTTCTTGGCTGCTTATCAGAATCCCCTTGGTTCTGCCTGCAGAGATTTTGATTTATTGGTCTGAGGTACATGAAACCTTGTACATAGACAGTTTTTAAAAGTTCCCGAAGTAGGCCAGGTATGGTGGCTCACTCCTGTAATCCCAGCACTTCGGGAGGCCAAAGCGGGCAGATACCTGAGGTCGGGAGTTCAAGACCAGCCTGGCCAACATGGTAAAACCCTGTCTCTACTAAAAATACAAAAAATTAGCTGGGCATGATGGTGGGTGCCTGTAATCCCAGCTACTTGGAGGCTGAGGCAGGAGAATTGCATGAACCCGGGAGGCAGAGATTGAGTTTGCAGTGAGCCGAGATCACGCCATTGCACTCCAGCCTGGGCAAAAAGAGTGAAACTCCATCTCAAAAAAAAAAAAGAAAGAAAAAATAAAGTTCCCCAAGTGATTCTATCATACAGCCAAAGCCAGAAGCAACTGACCTTTTTCATATGGCCTCCAGGTGGCTTCTGTTAGTTGAAAGCAAGCGGCAAAGAAATACATTAGTCTTAGGAAAGAACTTTTTGTGTGTGGTTACTGGCACATGGAATCAACTGGAAACAAATAGATCAAAGGCCTACTAAGTTTCTGAGGGAATTACATTGGCAAAGAAATTATGAGACTGAACTGAACAACTATTTAAGTAATAAAACTACAAAAAAAAAAAAAAAAAAAGAAAAAAAAAAAACCAAACCTCTGAGAACTTGGCCTGACAGGGTAGGTTGATGGGTTGTGAAGGTTGTGCAGCCCCTCTGGACGGTATGCCAGAGCCCACCTGACCAAGAAGGATATTGGGTAAGGAAGAAGCTCCTGCTCCGGCTCCACCATTGTATATTGGGAGCAGGAAGGGAAGGTGCAGATATATATATATATATATATATATATATATATATATATATATATGTCTATATATTTTTTGGCAACAGAGTCTTGCTCTGTCGCCCAGGCTGGAGTGCAGTGGCGTGATCTCGGCTCACTGCAAGCTCCGCCTCCCGGGTTCATGCCATTCTTCTGCCTCAGCCTCCCGAGTAGCTGGGACTACAGGTGCCCGCCACCACGCCCGGCTAATTTTTTGTATTTTTAGTAGAGACGGGGTTTCACTGTGTTAGCTAGGATGGTCTCTATCTCCTGACCTTGTGATCCACCTGCCTCAGCCTCCCAAAGTGCTGGGATTCCAGGCGTGAGCCGCCGTGCCTAACCTGCTGCAGATAGTTTTGCGTTTTTAGTTCACAGATTGCATCTTAAGGAGTTCCACATGATCTTTATGAAGAAGACTATGCCATATCCAGAGAACCTGGATGCACCAACTGAATCGGACTGCACGTGTTCTGCCTGGACATGTGTGGCATGGTGGGAGGAGGCAAGTGTGCTCTGTGTATAAGAAAAGGGAACAAAAAGGTACTTGGTGATTGAAGTTTCGCTAATATCCATGGTTTCCTTTGCTTAAA